CCCTTCTAGCTTGTGTTGATCTGCCTCTACTTTTGAGTGCAACTCCCACATCTCAAAATCCAACAACTAGTACATAGAACCAAGTCTCCGTCCTTTTTTCTTTTTTGTAATCTGTTGCAATCGGTTGTTTCTTCATGACAGTTTCAGTGTTACAGCTCAAATATAAGTCGTTGCTTTTCTGAGGTCTGTTTCTTTAGAGATAACCAAGAAAATATTTAAGGACTTGTTAATTCCTTGGGTAGAAATGGAATCATAAAAAAATATTTCATCTGCTCCATTTCCACCAATTGCTAAACCCACACACTGAATTGAGGGATAATATTCATCTAAGATAGTTTTGATAACTAACCAGATGAAGACTTGGTAGACAGGATGTTACACAAACATTGTGGATGTTCTCAGATGTGCCTTGATGTCTTGCTACCTCCAGCGCTTTTGAAGGCAGCATTTTTCAGGTTTCAGAAAGCAAGATAAGTGCTATCTGCCGAGAGCTGCTTTGATGCAAACCCAAACCTATGCTTACCTAAAACTTTAACACTAGCTATAACAAATCTAGTTCTGCGTTTGTGGTTTTTAGAAGGAAAAGCACTGAGAAGTGATGACCTGCTACAGAATCTGCCTGTCGGGACCTCAGCGACCTTGTATTTCAGAGACCTTGGCCCACAACTGGGATGGACGATGGTAAGTGATTTGCAAAATGTAATTCTGACAGTATCCATCATACAATCTTTAAAAACATGAATGATCTGCAGGTTTTTCTGGCGGAGTACATAGGTCCCCTTCTGATATATCTCCTCTTCTATTTCCGCGTCCCATACATCTATAACCACAAATACACCTTCACCTCCAGCTCTCATCATGTGGTCAAGTACATTCTTTAAAAAAATTACCTTTTTTGTTCCATGGAAGAAATAGTCATATGAATTTCGAATGACATGAGTAAATAACACAATTTGTATTTTCTCTTCAGTTTGGCTTGTGCTTGTCACTCTTTCCACTATAGCAAGAGGCTATTTGAAACAATCTTTGTGCATCGGTTTTCTAATGGCACGATGCCTCTCAGAGCCATTGTAAGGGTGAGTGTTTGGTCTCACTGGACTGGTTTTCTACTGTGTCAATTGAAAATTAAACCGAAAAGTACTTCAGGAATACAGTAAAACAATAATTTAATATCAGTTCAGTTATTTTCTGAGCAATATGACAAACTGAACAATACTATTATGATTAGGAAAACTGCAAGTGTTGAATCCTCAAAGCTGAAGCTAATTCTCTGAATTCACAGAATTGTGCGTATTATTGGGGTTTTGCAGCATGGTTAGCATACTACATCAACCATCCTCTCTACACACCACCATGTGAGTACCAGCGGAGACTAATCTCTTGAATAATCGCTTCAATTTGATTAATAATTAAACTTGTTTTAATGTTTTACAGCATATGGAGAGATGCAGGTCAACTATGCACTAATTATCTTTGTGGTATGTGATGTTTCTGGTTTAATAAACACTATAGGTTACAATAGTATCAAAAATCTGGTACCACTAAAAATCTAATATAACCTATTATGTTTGGACCACATTCTGTATTAAAGATAGATTGTTTGTTTTCAAGTTATGTGAGGCAGGTAATTTTTCCATCCACTGGTCACTGAACAGTATAAAATGTGAAGGTGGGTGTATTATATCAACTTTCTATGGCATTATTGTAGATCAGGATACTTGCGTATGACCCCATTTTTTGTTGTTTAAAGGTGCAAAATGTAGCAGGTTCCCAAATCCATCTAAAAACCCTTTTACGTGGCTTTTCTTTTTTGTTTCATGTCCCAACTACACATATGAGGTAACAGCACCATTGTCATAATCAAATATATAACACTACCTCTGCCACCTCCGACCGGTCAATCACCTCGTTGCTTACATTTTTCATCAGGTGGGTGCTTGGGTGGGCCTGTCCATCATGACCCAGTGTGTGCCAGGTGAGCAACTGCCATCAAACTTTGTGATTTTGATATATTTGATATATACTGTATAATGAGTTTAAAAAATATATATTATTTATAAATATATATTACTATTATTATAGAAAAATGTAAATGTACAATATCTGATTTATTTTCAAAAAAAGTTTTTTTTTGTTTGTTTTTTTTGCAGTGGCTCTCTTCACATTTGTAGGTTTTATT